TAAAGCTCAACCGAGTCCTGGGCTTCAAACCTAAGGCAAGTCCTGTTTTAAACCCTAGAATGTAGAAGAGCTTTTCTCATTTGGATGAAATGGCTAATTGGTGTGAGGAGAGTCTGTCTGTAAAGAAGATTTAAAGTATACTCAGTGGCGACTTCAAACCCGGTCAAAAGTCGAAAAGTTCGAAAACTTCTGCTGTGTCCGCCTTGAGATCCTTGAAAGTTAGGTCGTTTATCTCATTTTCCTAAAGTGAGAGAAATTCTGAGGGGCAGAGCCACGGCGGCTCTGTTCTTAACACTTCTGTGATGTCATTCTACAACGTGAACTCTTCGAAAATAAAAACAGAAGAAGATATTTTCCCAAATTTAAAAACTGTCTGCATGTAGAGTCTCACTCAGGTTTTGGTACTCTTGGAGCCCAAGAGTACTTTTAAAAAATTGTCCAGTAATCTGAAAACACAGGTTTGTTTTTGTTGGTTTTTTTTTACTGGATGACGATTTCATTGCAAAAGTAGAAGCTGAACGCCATTCAGGTTGAGCTTTGATAACCGTGGTGTTGGCTCTGGGCGTTCTCGCCGCCGAGCGGGTGAACGTTCCTTGCGATCACCGAACGGTGGCAGCTTGCCGTCCTGCGCCGTCAGGTGAGATGAGAGTAATCGTTTAAGAGAAGGAAACATGTATTGGTGTTACCTCTGCTTTCATAAAACTGGCTCTTCCGTGTTCTCCCTCCAGTCGTGGGAAAGGGAGCCGTCCTTTTCCCTGAAGCAAGGCTGCTGCCGCAGGGCCCCCGGTCACCCTCGGACACAGCCCTTCCGAGTCGGGTTCTCCATTCTGACAGGGATTGACCACACAGTCTCCTGAGTTACAGGAACAAACTTAACCTCCTTTCTGGAATCTGGCTCTTTTGTTCATTAGTTCTCTGCCACACGCTCTTGACTTGTTTCCACAATGCTTGTTACCCAGGAGTCTCTTTAAAACAGGTAATTAATGTAGCGACGAAAAGTTTTAACTTAACTGGAGGAGGCCTCAGAACTCCCTTCCGGGCACCCGAGGCAGAACTGGGTGGGTGTGCAGGATGGATGGAGGCCCGGCCGGCAGACGTGAACGGCCCTCCTGCAGAAATGAACGTACCCCTCTCTCCACAGAACTGTAATCTTCTTTCCACGGAAGTTAGGGTAGAATGGAAGAGAGATGGTGAGACCCATTATGTCACACTTAGAGTTGATACTCGGATTGCCCGGGAGCTCTTCACCCGGACAAAGCAGCTGTTTGGCCGTGGAAGGGATCTGTGTGGTGGTCAGAAGGAAGACGAGGCCCGGTCTCTGCTCTCTGAGGCCCTCACTTGTGGTCATAGCTCTCCATAGGGACTGAGTGATAGTTGTCCGTTCCCCACCCCCCCCGCCCCAAGGGGTGGTCCTGTTGTGATTCTCATCTCTACCCACATCTGTAGAGGTGCCTGCTGAGTGATGATTTCAGCTACTCTTTCTTTTCTGTCCTTGTTTCCTTTTGTCTTTGATCTCCGCTTGGTTATCCATCACCACGGTCTCATCCATCACCTCGCCCCAAACGCCCCCCACCCCCCACTCTGTTGTGAGAATTCTTTCTGTCCGAGGTTGTGGTACTCCAACATCTCATCGATATGCCTGCTTCCTCCTCACCCTCAGGATAGATTCTGGTATTTTCTCTCCATATCTTTAAAGATAAATCTGTTGCTGGTAGAACATTCTAAGAGTCAGATCTTGATGATCATTTTCTTGTATTTTAAAAGAGTATCAAACATATTAGCTCCTTACTGATACAGAGAATTGCCCTTTTTCTCTGACTTTGGTTAGACGGTCTCATGTCAAGACCCACATGCTACGCTGATCTGAGTAAGCAAGCAAGTGGCTGTCTTTCCAGGGAAAGGTGTTCATCACACCTCTTCTGGGGTGGATTTGCGCCAGCGCTGCAGGAGGGAACCCTCTAGATGTTTCACCACAACGATAACTTTGAGAGTGTACTCTGGGTCCCTTCTGTGGAAGGGGGCTGCTGCCTTGAGGGCGCTTGCTGTCTTGAGCTGTTTTACGTATTGGACTTCCTTAACTGAATTGGAGATGCTCCTTACATGGCAGTGCCTCTGCTGGAAATTCAGAGATTCAAAGAAAAAAAAAAAAAAAGCCTACTTGAAGAAGGCCTGCTGGAGAAAAAAGGATGGCGTTATTTTTTCATGGAGGAAAGCCCAGGTTTTATAAAAACAGAAATGTCAACCAACCAACTTTTCCATCTAATTGTTAATAATCGTCGCAAACGAGGAATGTTGTGCTGGGTTGGCTTTTATTTCTCAGTGTCCTGGAGGAGAGCTCATTAGAAGTGCCCTGTCGTGCTGGGCTGCGTCACAGCTTACCTGCAGCCTCACGGAACTTGGGCACTTACTTTTGTTTCAACCAAAGTCCCAGCATGGATTGGTTAGCGGAGTCATTCGTTCTGTTACCCTCAAGTGTTCTTTCAGTTGACTTTCCGTGACCAGTGTGTACTTGTTTATGCTACAAGCTGGCTTCATTTTTCAGGAATGTAGAAAATTACTCACAAACTTATTGACCAGTGTGGGCTCTTATTTTTAGCCTCCCAAGAATGAGTCCTTGGAGGCTTACCCCGTGATGAAGTATAGTCCCTACGTCCTGCCGGTCCAGTGCACTGGCAAGGTAAGGAGATGCTTCTTACTGAGGGTGGTGGGGGAGGGAGGGGGGAGTACAGGCGAGACTGTTTTCAGCTCGAGGTAAAACTTGACTATGGGAGAAGAGAGACGTGGCTTCCAGGCATTAGTCGCAGTTGAGCTGTAGCTATATGGGGTTAGAACATCTTAAGAGAAAGATGTAACAAGGCTAAAACCACATGTCAGTTTCTCTACCAGAACAAGAAACTGAATTATCTGAATTTAATTAGCGGGAATATTGGTTTATAGAACTGAGAAGTGAACTCGATCTAGCCCACACAGTGCTTCTCTGGCCCACATGGTGTGTTCAAAATTGAAGGCCAACTTTTTTTGTTTTTTTTTTTTTTTTGACAAAAATGTGGTTTTGGCTTTTCTTTAAAAAATAATGAAAAAATAAAAATAAAAAATAATGAAAGATAAGGTAATAGTACGTGTTCCCTTTAGATCTAAAGATAGGTTTCTAGTGGACTGTTTACAGAGAGGGCAGAATAAAGAAAGGGAATCTCTACTCCGTGCTGCTTTATGCGGGCACCAAGAAATGGATGCAAGAAAGTGAAAGGCAATTAGTTAGACTTTTGGAAGGAATATGGCTGAAGTACTATCCACTGGGCCACCACCAGTGGATTTGCAGGTGCCTTTCTAGGTGTGTTAGCTTTGGAGAAATGCTTGGTTCCACTGGACCACCACCAGTGGATTTCTGACTTTCAGTGGTGGGTGCCTTTCTGGGTGTGTTGGCTTTGGAGAAATGCTTGATTGGCCTTTGACTTCACTCTGTACAAAGAGAACAGTTTGCTTTTATGAGCACTTGCCACGGCTGCCAGGGTTAGACTGAGTGTGTGCTGGCTGCTCTCGTGTGAGGTACCACAGCGGGGCCCTCCTGTGGTTAGCGTTCAGCTGCTTCTGGGGGGGCTTTGAGCGGGTGCGTCAGGGGCTCACTGGTCTCCCTGCAGCAGCGGTTTGCAAACTGCTCTGTGGGACCGAGAGCCTCGTTTGTCACGGCAAGTAGTGATCTGGGCTGCAAGCCGTTAACATCTCATTCCCCTCTGGTTTTTAGCGAGACGAAGATAAGGATAAAGTTGGAAACGTGGAGTATTTTGGACTGGGCGGCTACCCCGGATTTCCTCTGCAGTATTACCCCTACTATGGCAGGCTCCTGCAGCCCAAGTACCTGCAGCCACTGCTGGCCGTACAGTTCACCAACCTCACCATGGACACTGAAATCCGCATCGAGTGTAAGGCGTACGGTGAGAACATTGGGTACAGTGAGAAAGACCGTTTTCAGGGACGCTTTGATGTAAAAATTGAAGTTAAGAGCTGATCGCAAGCACAAATCTTTCTCACTAGCCATTTAAAAAGTTAAAAAAGATACAAAAACAAAAACCTACTAGTCTTGAATAAACTGTCATACGTATGGGACCTACACTTAATCTATATGCTTTACACTAGCTTTCTGCATTTAATAGGTTAGAATGTAAATTTAAAGTGTAGCAATAGCAACAAAATATTTATTCTACTGTAAATGACAAAAGAGAAAATAAAAATTGAGCCTTGGGACGTGCCCATTTTTACTGTAAATTATGATTCCGTAACTGACTCGTAGTAAGCAGTGTTTCTGGCCCCTGAGTATTGCCGCCTTGTGTATCTGATTTAGCGTACAGTACTGTAGGTGCACACTCTGGTCATTTTTCAAGCCATGTTTTATTGTATCTGTTTTCTACTTTATGTGAGCAAGGTTTGCTGTCCAAGATGTAAATAGTCAATGGGAATAAAACTGGCATGGTACTTTTTATTATTTTTTTTGGTTTGGCTCTTTCAAAAATAATGGCCCATCAATGAGCATTTTTAACACACTCCATAGTCTTTTCCTGTGGTATTAGGTCTTTACTTTTTGTTTTTTGTTTTTTTTTTTTTTTTCCTGGGGCTGGGGGTGGGGGTGGGCTGTCATGGGGGAACTGCCCTTTAAATTTTAAGTGACACTACAGAAAAATACAAAAAGGTGATGGGTTGTGTTGTGCTTTGTATTGAATGCCGTCTTGACATCTCTTCCCTTGTCCTCCAGTACGTTCTGAAGCTGTGTATGAGATCTGGATCGCCTGTCACTTGGGCTGGTGACAGGCCTAATTCATTTGCTTTGTACATTTTCCTTTACTTTCCTCTTTTCCTTTCTCTGGAGGCATCACATGCTGGTGCTGTGTCTTTATGAATGTTTTAACCATTTTCATGGTGGAAGAAGAATTTTATATTTATGCAGTTGTACAATTTTATTTTTTTCTGCGAGAAAAAGTGTAATGTATGAAATAAACCAAAGTCACTTGTTTGAAAATAAATCTTTATTTTGGACTTTATAAAAAGCAATGCAGTACCCCATAGACTGGTGTTAAATGTTGTCTACAGTGCAAAATCCATGTTCTAACATATATAATAATTGCCAGGAGTACAGTGCTCTTGTTGATCTTGTATTCAGTCAGGTTAAAACAATGGACAATAAAAGAATGAACACATTCCTCATGTGCGTGATTCACTCTTGTCTAAATGCTCCAGCCTGTGACTTCTTTGCTTTCTCTACTGCTAGTTATCCAAGATCTTGAAGAAATACTGAACCTGAAAGGCAAACACATAAATGAGTTCATTAGTTCACATGGAAATTCAGCCTTTTCCACCGAACAGAGGCAGGAGCTGAGCCCCAGAGCACACCCCTTCCCAAAAGAGACAACAACTAGGTTCATCGGAGGTAGAGACTCAGTGAGGTTTTAGTTCAAAGCTGAAGTTTAAAACTATTTTGTGGTATTGACTTTGCTAGTTTAGAAAATGTGAATTTTTGGTTCCTGCTAGTGCTTTACTAGGTTGTTAAAAAAAAAAAAAAAGGGCTGTATTTCAGTTAAAAAATGAGGTTAGGTTTGAGGTTCAGTACATTAAGGTTCATACATTGCTTTTTGGTTCGTGGTTCAGCCTATGTTCGTATTTAGCCATATTTAAAAATCAGCCTTCGTGTGAAAGAAGACAAAAAATGAGCTTTCTGAGAAACATTCTCCGGGTATAACTGAGCTGAAGGTTTAGTATCACATAACCAACGTGGGAAATACCCAAACCAAAATCCTGGCATCATGTTTCTGGAAATGGAAGCCTGTCACAAAGCCCGTGCAGCTGGAGCTGGAGCAGAGCCTTCCTGCCTTCAGGCCGGCCCCCAGAGATCCCTTCAGTGTGAAGCTGAGATGCCTCTTTAGTAATGCCTCCCCTCTCATGGAGAGACCGGCCCGGAGGCCCACGGTCATGTGTGCAACGGCAGAGCTAATTGAGAAAGAGCAGTAGCACTTTCTCCTCCCACCTTATTGCCTCACATTTATAATCCTGCTGGTCTGCCTGTCTTGTTTATTCTTGAAAAATACTACTGGAGACTTTGCTATTTCTAGACCAGCAAATTGTGTGATGGCAGATTAATACCAGAGGAGCAATGATTCCACTTAACAACAACAAAACCAGCAAGGGGAACTGTGGAAAATGGCACCACAGCTTAGCTGCAAAGGTTTAAGGAGCCCTCCTTAACAAGGGAGGAAATACTGCAGCACCTGTAAACTAACCACCTACCTAAACAAAGCTGGGTTTCTCTGAATGTCACACCCACACTTCTAGAAATAGAAGGTGCTGTTCCTATAACAGAAGATGGTTTATCTTGCTGAAAAAACTCATTTTCCAGGGTGTATATCAGTCTGAAATGTGAGGTTTATAAAACAAGAAGGGGGATGGCTTTAGGTCTGGGGAAAGGAGTACACAAATTGGGGATGGGAGGTAGTTTGCCTTTTTAAGGCTAAGGTAACAACCTTAGTCAAATGAACCACTGCTTTCATATGTACTATCCAAGCCACTGTGTGTGGTATAGTGTGTGTGAGTGCGTGTGCATGCGTGCTCTCTATCACCTCAAGATCCCGTCCAAATCTTGCCTCCCCATATCGTCTCCACACTGCACCAATCCAGTCCCCACCCATGAACCGTAGGGTTACATCACCACTGGGAGACTAGAATGGGGGTTGTAGTCTTTGACTCAGTAGGTATTTGTTGACTGTCTACTGGGTGCCAAGCAGTAGCAATAGATCCACGAGTGAACAAAACACACAGACCTGTTTCCTTTCCTCACAGCTCGCATTCTAGTATGAAATACTGCATGTTTTTGGAACTCGTGCTTCTATACATTCATCTTCTCATATTAGTTTATTCCATCCCTTATTAGATGACACATTTTTTGGGTATAGGGACGGTGCCATCTACTTCCTCTGTGGTGTTTTGATCACATCCTACAGAGAGGTTTTCACACAAGTCCGAATACTTAATTCCTCACACTGAATATAAAGGAATGAGTTTTTTTAAAGGCAGTGTTTTTCAAAGGTAGGCTGAGTACCACTTGGAATCAAAAGCATTGGAACGATTACTGAGCCGAGGAAAAAGGAGTCTCCATTTTTTGTTTTCCCAATCCATCACATTCCCAGAAGGCAAGTTTTGGTGCGGTGCTAGCACGTCTTCAGCCCAGGTTAATCTGCCTTTCAATTAAAGGGATACAGGCCTTGGGCTCAGAACCTGTGGCAAGCAATATTATCTAGCTAGAATTTAGTAACTTTTGTCTATTGTATTTATTTTACTACCTTCAGGTAAGGACAAGTAATACTAGTTTTACATTTATGGCAGTAAAACAAATTTATTCAAGTATAACGGTGAATGGATTTCAAGCAAAATAGTAAATAAACCTTCAGGTGGTTACTCACATATGGTAAAACTCATGAAAGTGAAAGCCCACAAGAATTTAGGAACATTTGGCCAAAAGTATAGCATTAACAGAAACCAAGTTTTCCTGGTTCTGTACCTGTTTGGGCAAAATCTAATTTGAACTTCATTTTAGAATAATAGCACGCCCTGCCTGCTCAAACTTCACTTACTACCAGAGGGAACAGGTCCGGCTCCAAATTAAAAACATTATCAGTAATCAGAGATGAAAATCCAGTTATCAGACTCTTTCAAAGGCCAATGATTGCTCCAACTCCTGGCTTCTTAAAGGATTCATGCCACTTCTCTAGAGATCAGTGTATGTCTGGCCCATGGAGGAGAACCAAGTGGGCTTCCTTTGAAACTTCAGGACTGAGGACCTTATGAATACAGAGGGAAATTATCCAAGGAACATTCAAGAGCAGTTAATCGAGTGAGTAAAGTGATCTGGGTTTCAAATGCAACAGGGAAAATGTGCCTTTCCCTTAGCTCCTTTACGAGGGAGCTAGTGCACTAACCAGCAGGTTACCTCCCATCCGCTAGGCTCTGCCCTGGGAAAGCCAACTAGGAAAGAGTCTGTCAGTCTGTCTCCCCGATGCCCGGCCGCAGTCAGCACTCCCATCCTACCCAGTGTAAGATAAAGGGGGTTAGACCAAGGCAGATTTCTTGGCTCGCGTCTGATTTTTGTATTTTTCTCTCAGAGATTGTCAGCATTGGTCTGTTCTGAGAAATTAAGTATCTCACGAAGAGGTGCTGACTCTTACTTGACTACAGAATCCTGCTATTTGAGGCACAAATGAATTCCACACCCCAAGAAGGGGTCCATATTGTGATAAACCGCGACACCGCATCTCCAGATGACTTGTCCACAAAGCCTTTTAAGATACTGGGTTTTCATAAAGTCAGGACTCCCCCAAGCAGTCTGTCAAGGGCTGCCTTTTCCAAGGAAATGCACACCTCCCTCTAGTGTCGGCCCTTCATAGACAGGGAAGGAGCCGGCACAGGGTGACTGGAAACCCATCTACTCAGCCGCCCATAGTGCCTGACAGAGTTGCTGGGTCGATCCTTCGGTTTAAGTGTTTTGGGATCAAATACTTCACTCCCGTGAAAGGTGGCCCCTCAGTACCCATAATTTCTCATAGGGATTTGCGGTTATTAAATTAGGAAGTAATGGAGACGCGTGGGGCAGGCCTGCAGGAATGCGAAGAGGAACCATTCCTTTGATAAGGAGCAAGGGTTCTAAAATGACCAGTGGGGGAGGATCAGGCCTTGGGGGAGGTTCTGGTGATTCTGCACTGGAGCCCCCAGGCAGCAAGGGGATGGTATAAGGCTAACAGGCACTTCGGGGTTCTACCAAAGAAAAGGGAACGTGACCTGAGAAGCCCGTGCCTACAGAAACCTTTGCCTAGAGCTGGCCTCTTCTTTTCTTTCACTTATTAATTTCCCCAGAGCCACTTTCCCCTGTGCCCAGCACTGACCATGACGTTGACCGTGACCTCGGGGAGGGGGCTATCCACACAGACAAGGTCCCTGTTCCGTAATTTTGGTCTTCACATCTCCAAATATCTTAAATGGCCTGTCCTATTCTCTTATCCGTACCTAATTTCCTTTCCCTCCCTCTCCTGCCAGTCGTCCCTGTCACTAGCACACCAAGCACACCCATCTAGGGTAATGCAGTGATGCATGAGCCCTGGTCCTCAGAAATCTCGAATCCCGGGAAGAGGAAAACCCATGCACTCAGATCAAATCGCTAGTGTGTGCTAAGGTGCAAGTGGAGAGAATAAACTGCCAGTAGGACACGAAACATTTCACACAGGGGTTAACATTCAACTTGAGTGTTGAGGACGAGCTTCATTTAACGTAGATGAAGGGAACGGCGAAGTTTAGCTGGTATAGGACTATTGGGCTAATGGGTCACCACTACTTTACTAACCTGAAGCTTGGTTCTTTCTCTCTCACCGTTAGAGTTAAGAACAACAGCTCACACTTATTTCTTCCTTCACAGTGTACAAGTCTCACCTCTCGCAACAGCTCTGTGAAGTTGTTCCCCTCATCTCCATACAGATCAGGATCCTGGGGCCGAGGGTCCACGACTTCCGTAGGCAGCGAGTTGGGGCCCTTGCTAAGTCAGCAGGACCGGAATCTGAATCTTTACCTACAACTCTAAGCCTCTTGGCTCTTCATCTCCTATGGAGTGGACTCTGCATTTGCCCATGACTGTGTATCTACATTATCAAAAATTCTCTAACAATGGAATTCAAATAAATATAAATCTTCTGTAATTGCTTCAAGTGTAGACGCAGCAAAAGCTTCGAGGGAACCATTTTTGCCCTGAGTACAGTGTATAGCAAAAGCGGGTCTCAAGGCTAGTGATTCTAGTCCTGTCCAGCACTCCCCCCATGGAACTTCTAGAACATGGGGCCAGCATGAAATCCCTTTGCACAGTTATTATGTCTGGCTTTCTATCGGAGTCTCTAGAGAAGCCCACGCTACAGATGCCCAGGCTCTTCCACAGATGACTGAGTCAGGCACTTTGGGGGGAAAGGGCAGCCACCTATTTTCCAATGGTTCTTAAAGCTGGCTGGGCATCAAAAATACCTGTGGAGTTATTTTGTTTCCTTTTAAGTAAGGGTACAGATGTGTTTGAACATTTACAGAATCCATCTCTCCCACTGTCATGGAGTTCGGGCACCAAATCAGAATACTTGCACCGAGGTCACTGTACTAGACAGGTTTTCAGATAAAATCTAGTCAAGCTGAATTTGACTGAGGTACAAGTTTGCTAGTGTTCCAACAGTATGATAGTGATTTTCAAATACACCAGCCAATTTGGTAGAAAAACAACTCTC